TATTCTAGTAATTTACTAGAATACGTTATTTTTTATTTACTAGAATACGCCATTCTGAAAGCCGGCATTCACATTGGGCGTATTTCGCGGAAGATTAGAAAAATGCTGAACTAATGCAACCAATTGCTGATTAGAATGTTTGTTGTACACTCTAAAGCTCAGTGTAATTCTTTCTCTCTCCGAGATCTCGGACCAATTTCTAGCATCGTGGACACAAGACTTAACAGAAATGCTAAACGAATTTACGATTGGTTTTCGTAACCTACGCAACTCGAAAAGTACGCCTCATGGGGAACCGGTACTTTCTATCGTGTACATACAATACGCGTTTGTACAAATTTAGAAGAAGAAAGTCTGATTTATAATGGCCGTAACCGTTAACTTATGCCGGTGCCGGTAAAGTTCAATCATAGGATTTCAATGCTTTCTTCTTCTAATACGGCAAATTAGTATGAACGAAAGTATTGAAATCCTATGGTTGAACTTTACCGGCACCGGCATAAGTTAACGGTTACGGTCATTATAAATCAGGCTTTAAGATATCTTTTCATGCTGACGCTTGACGCTCATTTTCGGCGTCCATATAAATCATATGATAGAGGCTGCGGTCCACTTGACGCTACAAACGTTTCGAAGCGTTTGAGCGACCAATCAGAACAAAGAATTTTGCGAATTGACTAATCAAAGAATGCTTCGAAGCGTTTGTAGCGTCAAGTGGACCGCAGCCAGAAATTGACGAATATCAAGCGTTAATTTTGATCACGTGACCTATTGACGTTGAAAAGGAGCGTCTAGCGTCAGCATGAAAAGGCATCTTTAGGCCACCGGGGATAGAGTTTCTGAACACAGCGAAACGGAACTGAGTTGGAAGTTTGGAACGAGTTTTGAATGATCGTCAACGATCGTTTCGTGGAATTGCGTTAAATGATTAGGATATTTTTAATTTAATGAGACAATGATGAAATTAAAGAGAACTACACAGGATCAAGGAGCTGCTATAAAAATTACTAGCACATACGTCGTTAAGGTAATCGATTTATATATATATATATATGTATTTTTTGTGTCCGTTTGATTCTTAAATAATATATGTATGTACAAGTAATATGTACACAAACAAGTCTCCCTCTCGTTTCCTCATTTCCCTGAAAAAATTATAATTCGAACATGATCTATACATACACACACAAATATAAGAAGAGTAACAGAAGCATAAGTTAGAATGGTAAAACATAAAAGAAGCATTTTAAAGAAGTAAATGCCTCTTATACGTTCATCATTCTAATTTACGTTGTCTAGAAGTTTCCTCAATGACTCCATCACTCTCCCTGTATACAGGATGTCTGAGACCATCCATATACTCCTTTTATATTGGAAATAAAGCATTTTAGAAAAAAAAAACATTTCAGACAAAAGTTATGGGGTTTTAAATGATCTATTATCCTTAGTGACGCCACCCAAGGTCAGACTGATCAGATCACTGAATAGATCATTTAGAACCCCACAACTTTTGTCTGAAACGTTTTTTTTTTCTAAAATGCTCTGTTTCCGAGATAAAAGGGATGTACGGGTGATCTCATGGACATCCTGTATATACTCAATTTATGTTCTTATTTTCACCATTCTACTTTCCAGTGTATGATACATCAAAATAATGATGTATTAATAGAATTATATAGCTAACAGTATTCTAATTGAAAATAATCTGTAATTATGTATACATTAAAGGACATTGTGTTCACCTTGATCTCGATGTAAGTCAAGGTCATGATTCTGATTGCGAATAACTTAGCCTTAACAACTAGATGATGATCTAGTATAGTTTCTACATTTATAGCACATTTGGTTTACTAATTCGACCCGGCTCCGAGTCAATGATCTATTCTTTTTAGCTGCATTCCTTGTACAGTTAAGCTCTTCTTTTGCATCTAAACAGAACAGACCATTAACTCAGAGTCGAGTTGAGTCAGTAAATTGAATATGCTATTAGATTTAAAGTATAATTTTAGTAGAAAATTTTGACCTTGGAGAACAAACTCCTATGATTTTGACCTTAACATATATTGTCAAAATCATGATCATGTCAAGATAGAAATCATCAGTTTGTCTTCCAAGATCAAAATTTTCTACTAAATACTTATATTTTAAATATTTTAGAAACTATAAGAAGCAGCCAGCTAGTTGTTAAGGTAAAGTTACTTAGGATCATGATTTTGATAACATATGTCAAAGTCAAGATTATCAGATGATGTTCCTTAATGTACATAATTATCAAACAATTTTATTACAACTCGGTAACAATATTTATAAAACACATAACAATTTATTAAAACAGGAGCATGATATTTGTTTTATTAATACTTACTGTTATTAAATTAATAAAATTATATACAATTATACTATTATTATGACTTTTTATATTTTGTAGAAACAAAGAAAAAAGAATGATAAAGAATTATTAAATAGCATACATGATTCGAAGAAACCAAATAAATCTAATGAAATAGATAAGAATATACTTACAAGTAAGCAAAAGAACAAAAAGAAAAAAAAGCATTCTGAGAATAAATCTAATGTAAAAAATACAAAAGAATCGAATGTTCTAATAAAGATTAATACAGACAGTAAAATGAAACATAAAATAAAAAATAAATTTGGTATGAATGATATGAAGAAATCAGATTTTCTAACAACATATCCAAAGGATGATAAAAAGACATCAGAGGTATTTCAAGAATTATTAATTAACACAAATAATAAATCAGAAAACAAGAAAAAAAGTAAAAAAAAACAGGAGATGAATCTTGACGCAAATAAAAATGCAAGAGTCGATGATGTAAAAGAAAGAAACAAGAAACTACAAAAGTCTGTAAAAGAATCAATTAATTTGGAGCATAAAATGACAAAAATTGAAAGACTTAAAAAGATAACTGGAAAAAAAATGAAACGGATGTCAGCTAAAGCAGAAGCGCAACATATAAAAACTGACGAGATGTTAAAGCTGAACAAACATATGAGAAAAATTAAACAATTAGAAGAAATGCTTGCTAGAAAGTCGGAAATAAAACAGACTTTGAAAGATAGAGTGACAACGCAGTTAAAAGCAACTAGATTTAAATTTATAAATGAGATATTATGCAATAATGACAGTTCGCTATCTAAGCATTACTTAAAACAGAATCCTGATGCCTTTAAGGCTTATCAGATAGGATATAAATGGCAACTTGAACAATGGGCAATGAATCCATTGGATGTTATAATATCATCAATTATAGAACTGTTTGTATATTATATGCTTCATTCTTAATCAAAATTTACATGAGCTTAAATATTATAATATCTTGATAATTGCAGGCCAACGGACAATATAATCGCTGATTTTGGATGTGGTGAAGCACGACTCGCTGCTTCCGTTCCTCATACGGTACATTCGTTTGATTTCATTGCTCTGAATGATAGAGTAAAAGCTTGTGATATGGTTTCTACTCCTTTACAAACAAACAGCGTCCACGTTGTCGTATTTTGTCTCTCTTTAATGGGATCTAATCTTAACGACTATGTAATAGAAGCCAATAGGGTTCTGAAAGATAAGTAAGTAATAATGTAATAATTTCTTGATTGAATAACATAAGAAATTAATATTTTTGTTCCAATAAATTTAGTGGTATCTTGAAAATAGCCGAAGTGGAAAACAGATTCGAGGATGTGAAAGATTTTATAAGATTGTTGCGTAATTATGGTTTCAAAAATACGAGGAAAGACTTGTTTGACTTGTTTTATTTTATGGATTTCAAGAAAGCAAAAGCTATAAGCATGAAGAGGAAAACTCTCTCTCCAATTATACTGAAATCATATTTATATAAAAAAGGATAAGATTTCATTTTTATATTATTCAATTATATTTTATGTTTTGTACAAGAAACTTTAATTTGTTTTACATAAAGAATTTTATTTTATTTTTTTTACAAGATTTAAAATATTATTTTGTATGAAAAGATATTTATATTCTCGTAAACTCTCATGCGTTACCAATATTCTAAACCATGTTAATCACCATTTACCTCTAAGTTTTATAGTAAGTAATAAGTTTATATCAAACGATTAGATAATATTACTTTACGTGCCTGCTTAAATATTATATTATTCTTTGATACATATTGTTCCATGAGCACAAATTATATAGTTATAAGAAGTAAAAGAAATTAATAATTTTTATGGACTTTTTATAATGTATTATAAAAACGCAAATATATATATATTCACATAAAAAAATATAGTTTATCTTATTTTTTAATTGATATATTACATAAATACTTAAAATAAAGCATTTGTTTCATAATACGACGAGTTATTCAACACTTGAATATTTTGAAAAGAAAGTTATTTCTTATGTGTTTCCTTTGATGATCAAGTACAGTCCTTTTTAATTTCAAATTAAGAATGTCGATAATAATGACATTTTTAATTCATTTCTATTTATACAGCCAAAACAGTTGATAATGTCAACGCTCTTTAATTGCGACTGGGTTTCCCCCAGATAGACCCCTTTGATAGGCAAGAACATTTTCTTTGTTTTAGCCGTCTACTAATACTTCGTCGGTGACTCTGCCTACAGGGACGTAAACTACGTTTACACGGCTCGATTTACGCCGAAGTTATAAAATCGATGTTATTTTACTTTCTTCAAAGGAATAGCTATGACTGGTCAGCTTCATAATATCGATTTTATAACTTTGGCGTAAATCGAGCCGTATAAACGCAGTCATTGACCCACAGTAACCACTGACTACCGACTACCACAAACGTGACGGCACTGCACTCTACAGTCAACTGCAGAGGTGCAGAGTGCAGTGATCGATAAAACAAAGGGAAAACAAGTTTGACATAAGGGCTTTTCATTCAATAATTTTGATTGCTTTGCTTATATATATTATTGTCTTCTTAAAAAATTCGATTTTTAATTCTTACTTTGACAGTGTTAAGCAATATATTACTGCTAATATAAAGCAAGATTTCTGTCATAAAAAGAATGTATGAGCCATGAATTACTACAAATATTAGTTCAGAATTTGCTGGAGAGTTTGGATATGTCAAATTGTTTATCGTGACCAATCGTGACTATCGTTTATCACTTCAAAGGTGTCAAGGGATTGGAAGATGTTGTGTCGTGAAGGAGTTCTCAGTTTATTCTGCTTTATTGCAGCAGGTTTGATCTCTCTTTTCCCTGAACTGCAGTTCAGGTTAGGATTCGATATTTATGTCGCATATTGTACAAATATTTGGCTTTTACATGCGGTACAGTACATTCTCATAAATGTGTCTGCATTGCTGGCATTTCGTGGTTTTGCTTATCAAGTAAGTTGTTTCGTTATGTTATGTTGTACATTACTTAAAATTTTATGTGTGCTCAAAGTATTATTTTTTTTACAGGTTGCAATCAGAGCATTGTTTCTTGGATATATCTTTGGAATTGGTATTTTAGTGTCAATTAATGCTCCACTATCGTGGCAGGTGTTTGGCATTTATACAACAGTATTAGCGAGTTTTCATTATACGGAATTTTTAGCTATTGCCTGGTCAAATCCAGCTACATTGTCGATTGACAGTTTCATTCTTAATCATAGCATAGCATATGGGATAGCAGCATTTCTCAGTTGGATAGAGTTTATTATAGAGAGGCATTACTTCAACTTAATGAAAAGACCTTCCCTAGTGTCTTATTTTGGTCTAATGTTATGCATTTCTGGTGAAATTTTAAGAAAATTAGCAATGTGCACTGCAAGACATAATTTTAACCATGTTGTGCAAAATGAGAGACAAGACAATCACGAGCTTGTTACACATGGCGTATACAATTTTTGTAGACATCCTAGTTATGTAGGATGGTTTTATTGGTCCATAGGAACACAGGTGAGATATAATAAATTTTCTATAATACAATTAAACATTTAATTCTATACCTTTATCACATAATTTTTAATTAACACTCATAAATTTTTATTCCAGTTAATACTTCAAAATCCACTATGTTTCTTTGCATATGCATTGATGTCATGGAGTTTCTTCCATGATCGTGTTATGATTGAAGAAATAACTTTATTAAATTTCTTTGGCGAAGACTATGTTCAATACCAAAAAAGAGTAGGTACTGGGCTTCCATTTATTTCTGGATATAAGATTAATTCATAGCATCCTGCGGTAGTGTAGTCATATTTTGTAAAAAGATCTAACAAATGAAAAAACATGTTTTATATGTTTGTAGAAGATCAGATTAGATTAATTAGTTTTAAAAGAATTTACATTTAGAAAAATTTTGGTGCGTATATATATACATATATAATTTTGAGAATAATTTATTAATTTTCATTAATCCGGTTTGTCTTTATTTATTATTTAAATAATTTTAATTGTGATATGTGTAATTATACATATATGTATACATATTATAGTGTATTGATGCCATTTTACACATTTACTTGACTCTAGTCATAAATTTTTATTTTGAAATTTTTTATATGAATGGAAAACTCAGGTTAATAAATAATTGTTACTTAGCATTTATTTATATGCTAATATACAATGTAAAAATAATAATACGTAAGTTTTGTAAAATTATGTAAATAAACCCTTGTTAAGGTTACTTTGAGGTTTAGTAGTGTGTATATATATATATATATATATATATATAATGTATGTATCAGTACATAATTTTTATTATTATATGTCTTTATACAATGAATATCCAATTTTGATAAAATGTTTATTATAAAATATTATTTGGTTATGTATATACATTATAGAACTAATTGTCACAATTTTTCTTATTTTTATACAGCATTTTAGATCTGATTATATTTGTTTTTTTTTTTTTTTTTTTTTTTTTTCAAAATTCCATAATAAGCAATTTTTCTATAATTTGATAATATTTTATTTCTTAGATTCGTGTTGGATTTGTTATTTTGAATTTTTATTGCATTCAATAATCTCCCAATTTTTAAAAATACAAGACAGGTCCCAATTGAAAAAAAAATCAGATCTTAAAGGATTAATATTCCTCTTGTCTTTATATATATCATTTTTGTAAACTCTGATTGGAAATATACGTGATTTTAGATAGAAATTAAAATGTTTGTTTAGAATTAAGAAATTACAAATTATTAATTAAAATTAAAAATATTCACAATGAAATAATAAAAGTACACAGTTTGTTAGCAAAATTATAATTTATTGTCTCATTTTCTTTGAAGAATTTTTATGTAACAATAGACTACATATATATAATATTACGGTAGATACTTTCAGTATGATTTTATAATACAGGGTGGAGCAATATTAGCTATTACCATACCTGAAACATTGCTCCTAATTGAGGTGTTCTAATTAGGATGCCACTGGCATTATTCATACTTAAACGCCGTAATCGCGTAAAAAAGGCATTTCAGACCGGAATATTTGTTATTGCACCCTGTACAAATAATGCAATATACATATATATTACATTATTATGTAACTAACGTTTACATGAACATCAAAAAGCGTTCATTCGATGTCGAAGTGTACGGTATGTTAAGGTATATTAGAATATAATTATACAAGTATATGCATCGGTTTTTTTCTGTACATGATCATTTACAATGTGTTATAATAGAATCATAGCGAACGTAGAAAATTCCACAGGAGCTATGATACATTATCTCGGTATTCCATTCTTCAAATAATATCTAAAGGCAATATCTCGTTTAATGACATTCTTTTTTCATTATGCGCAATAATTTTAGCTTATTAATCGAATTACGTATCGTAAAGAATACATTAACGAAACATTAAATGTCAGCAACGCACATACTGCAGTACGTTATACAGGGTGTTCTATTTTAATCAATCTAGTTACTTTTCTCTGAAATTATTAGTGATACAAAAAAAGTTTCAATTAAAAGTGGAACGGGTTCAAGGGAAATGTATTTTGATTACATTTTTCTACGGTGGAGATGCCGAAAGGACATGAACGTCACTTTCACTTCACGTCTCCATAGAAGAAGAAAAATAACGTGACCAAAATACATCTCTCTCAAGGCTGTTCCACTTTTTTGAAATCATCTTTTTGTATCATCAATAATTTTGGAGAAAATTAACTGAGTTAAAATGGGATACTCTGTATGAAGATCATTGAAAAGTATAATTGTTTGTATAAATTAGATGATACTTCTTGACGGAATAAATATAATTACATGAAAAAGTAAAAAATAGAAAATTAGATCTAATATTAATAGACTCATAAAAATGTATTGGACGTAGATCTTTTTTGTATTTTTAATTATACTACGGGACATCTTATACTTTATCTTGTAAATTTAAAAGTGGATACACAGAAAAAACGTATTTAATTAAAGATTAATTATTCGGCAAGCTATACTGATATTAAAACATTCCGTCTATAAGTATATCTAATATAATTCAATGATTTAAGAAGATTAAAATCAATTGTTTTAATCGTTGAGAATATAATAAAATGTTATTTTATAAGTAAGTATTGCACTTTAACTGATAGTTGGTAAGTGATAATCTAATTATTCAATATATTGCGTAGATAGATATATAATGTCTTGATAGCCGAGCAATTGTTATTACTATCCAATTGTACGTTTTACTTTCATAAAGTTTCAAATATAGAGAATATTAGAGAACGCTAATTACTGTTTACTTTATACGCGAGTTTTCCATAATCTATTCGATATAAATTTTATATATGTAGCAACACACATTTTTTATTTACGTCATCCTTATTCCTATCGCTATTCTCTCGTATGTAACTTTCTTTGTTTACATATCACGTAACCTGATTAAATTCTTTTAATAAAAAAACGTACGTTCGATGATACCGTTCAATTACTCATTAATTTATCCTTGATTATTCGCCTGTTATTCCCTTGCATTAAGCACCTACATATGTATATTATACAATAAATGATAAATATTCATCATGGTATGAGTGCAATCTGGATTCGAAGAATCAATCAAGTTCATCAATCCTCTATTTGATTGTTAATGTATGTGTTATGTTTCAAGGTTCTCGTTTTTCAGATATTAATAGAGAGTAATGTTCGTAAGTTATGCATTTCGCATTATAAATATATAAATGTGCATTTTCTTTCCAAGTGTAAAAATTCGATACCTATAATATCGATTATAGAAAAGTTGTTAATATCGTTTCTATAACGAAATGGCTTTGGTTGTGATGAGAATTTATTGTCTTTCTGATATAATAACGGCAGATATATCAAAGTCTTAGTAAATCCAAACAATACAAAGTCTAAAATTATGACATAAGACGTCTTTAAATCGACTTTTAGACGCAAAAAATGTCTTATGACCTGATTTTAGACACTTTTTGTTGTCTGGGAAGCTTTGATTACACTCATACACCAGTGAATAATAGAATTTATTTCTTATACGACGCAGAACTTTATTATCGTATTATAAATATGAATAAATCAGCACGTGGCAGTGAAAAATTATAACTATGTACTTTATCGTTATCAACACATTTTCCTTTCATATCAGTCACTGTATCAGCTGCTCCAAGTCGTCCAGCTGATTCGCAAAAATAAGACACCGCGAAGCGGTTGATTACATGAAACAGAATGAGAAGAAACAGGAAAGACATGAGAAGCTTAATTACTATATCCTTCTTGTATTTACATTGCAACTGACAGTAAATGAAGAATTTTAGATGAGAATAATGCATAAATCTTAAATTCTGTCGCTTTTAAAATAATGATTTATTACTTGCGAATTGAATTGTATCTACTCTTTTTTGTACAAATAAAGCGGTATAAAACGTTATAGTTATTATAAAATATCGATAGCAATATATTAGTGCAGATAGACTCTGTATATCTATGCCATCTATGGATATAAAATTGTTTTGTTGCTCGTTTAGCAATAGTTACTTTCGTATCTTTCACATGTTACTTCAGGTCGTTCATGATAAACCATCAAAGGAATACATGCATTTTAAATACGTTTTACTTTTCGATTTTTGCGTATATGCAGAATGCCTCGCCAAACCAAATTACTCCAATCGAAAAGTTGCGTCTTTAGTATATCACACAATATTTCAATAACGTTTGATTAGCTGTGATAACAGATTTGCTTTTGATCCTTTATATTTCTAATGTTCTCAAAATATTAGATATATATGAAAAATTTAACGTACATATTTGGCTTTAAACACGACATTTATATCAACGATATAACCGCTCGTCAGTACAAATTTGCGGTACATTCCTCAGATGCAAATGCGAATCTTCTCTTCAATATCTTTCGAGGTCACCGCGTGTGGGAAGTCTATCAGTTCGATCACTGCAAAATAAAAAACACGTAAGATTAATACCTATATAAAAATTCTTTTTAGAATTTATTTTCATATAATTTTTCATAACTTTTATGTAAATTTTAGAATTTTTCAAAGTTCTGTATAATTTTATAACTTCTTAAAAAACTTCTCAGATATTTTTTTATATGAATTGGAACATTTTTCAGAAATGTTGAGAAAATCTACATTTCTAGAATTTTTCATATATGTAAATTCTAAAATATTTTAAAGATTTTTCATTCTGATTTCTGAAAGAAACTTGTAAAATCTGAAAGAGTTTAAGGTATTTTTTCAGAAATCTTCATGAAAACTTTTATAGAACGAAAACTCTATTGGTGCTGATGCAGTACATTGTATTTCTTATCTCATATTTCGAGATAACCCTGATGGAAAATTTCGTTGAAATTATTTTACGTTTTGGAACATTTTTCAGTAAAATTTCAGTATTTTAAAAAAATTTCAGTTTAATTTCAACGATTTTTAGTTGAAAAATTCATTTTCAGTAAAATTTTAGCAAAATTTCAGAGAAATTTCAGCAAATTTTCAGCAATTTCGCTGAAATGTTCCAAAACGTAGAATACTTTCAGCGAAATTTTTTCACCAGGGAAGAAATACAATAAAAAATAATGAATCATAATAAATCTTATTTAAGAAAAAGTTGTAAGATTTTAAAAATATAGATCTTCGTCCTCTAAAGATTAAAATATGACAAATTCTTAAAAATATTATGAGATATTATAAGAATTTTTTTCTCATTTAAAAACAAGTTTATATATTATACATTAGTGACGATTAAACGTCGAGTACATTAATATTTGTAACAGAAGAAAGAAATGATGGAAAAGTGACGTACCGTAATTTCGCCGTGTTACTTCCAACGTCGGTGTTAAGCATTAAATAATTTACAAATTTATTAACTGTACATATTATGCAAACTCGCAGAAATACACACCCTTTAAAGAATACTGTACATTTGCAGCGTGATTTGATAATAACATGATTTGGTCTAAAGGGAAATGTGTATTTCCGACAAGTGAAATCGATAATGTTCTATTCATTTAGCTTAACAAGCCGTTGAGAACGTTAACTGCGTCTACGCATAACAGCGTGAAAAGTACACTTTGTTCCTTAATGTCCCTAGTCAAAGCGATAAGATTTTGAAGTATAATTAATAATGAATAACTCGTCATGTCGTACGCGGCAAGATTGGACGCGGGTTTTGGATGAATAATGTTCACCGGCGGCGGTGGTACAAACGCATCGAATCCGTCCGCATCCGCATCCGTGAATACCAGCGAAGATGGTATCCATCTTACTCTGAGCAGCATGCGAAATAAATATCCAATGACGTTAGTAATTTCAGACGTTATCGCATACAATTTATATTTATATTTCTAATGAATTCTAGAAATTATTTGAACAATTAATATATTGTTTGAATAATTTCTACTCTCTCTAAATTCTTTGGAGTGAATTTTCACTCTAAAAAGTAAAAAGTGAATCAATCTTGAAAAAGAGTGGCTCAAATTTAAATCTTTAAGAGTGAAATTTTACTTTTCAGAGTGAGATTCTTTAAAAATTTTAGAGAATGCAATTCATTAGATTACTAACATTAGATTACTGGCAAGTAATTGAAAATCAAATTCTGTGTGTCATTTGTTGAGTCAAGTATGTTTCTTATAATCAGTTAAACTGTTAAATTTACTAATAAAAATCTAAAGATCCGTAAGAAGAAATTAGCTTCAAATAGTAGAAGTGATTTAATATAAAAAAATACTGAAATTACATATTTGGAGGAAAAATGTTTTTTTTTAAAGATTCTAGTACAATGTTTACCTGGTGCACGGTGAGACATTTACTCCCCTGATGGCCTTCTCGCCGATATCGATAGCCCCTGAGTCCTGCACCTCCAGCGTGTAAATGCAACCGGAGAATCCGTCGTGGTATTTACCATAAGTCATTGCATAATCAGGTAAACCACCCAAGTAAACGTTACCCTTTGCATTAAGAATTTGTTGAAGTCCGTCACTTACACCGCTCTCGGTGTGTTCACCGTTTAGTTCGATGCTACCGTCGCTTCTTTGACGTTTCAGGATTATCCTGTGCCGTTCCCCGTCATCGACGCGTTGGGCGGTGATGCGAATCACAGCGGGACCAGAGCCCAAGTTGTATTGATACTCCACGTACCTGGGAACACAAAAATGATATCAATATATAAAAATTCAAAATGTCTTAAGATTAGAATAGCGGATAATTTCTTTGAAAGGTATGCCTTTCAATTAAATAAATTCTTTAAATTTATCGTGAGAATACTGCTCAATTCAAAATTTTGAATAGGAAATGCAGTTTTTCAATCCAATTGAATTTAAAAAAAGTGAAAATAGACCATAAATGCTATTAAAGTACACTCGATATTGCTTACCCATCTACTACAGCAACAGCGATATAATCATCGGGAGTTAGATCGTTCGGCGTTTGACCATGCCACATGATCAATCCATAACTCTTATTAGTGCTGATCTCGAGGCCGAAAACCTCACGCTCTTCTTCGTGCATCATAACAGATCTGTCTAGTTCCAGCCAGCCGTCTCCTCTAAAGGCAACATCATACGTAATCTCTGCCACTACAAATATATAATCACATTATTCATAATTATTTTATTTCTATCTTTTAATTATTTTATCATACATTTTAAATATATAATTCTAATATAATATAATTAAATCATATTTAACTATATATGTTTTAATTATTATAGTGACACTTTTTATACGTATCTTATATAAAGAGATCTATATATATATAAGCGTTACGAGAAATAATTTTCGGTTTTTTTTATGTAAACATGTATTTTTAAAAATTTAGGAAATTAATTTTTTTTGCATGAAAATACATAGTATAATATGGTTCAAATATAAATAGAAATTGTATATAACCATAAGACTTCTTATGGTTCGTAGCCCTTCTCAACACAATTTCTATTTTTTTGCATAATTAATAATAATTTAGATGCAATAAATAGTACATATTTCATACTTACACTTTTCGCAATTTTGCCCGTTGTAACCAAGGCGACAATCGCATTTATAGGAATCATGGAGATCCGTACAGGTACCACCGTTTCTACATGGGGTAAGAAATTCACATTGCTTTTGCATCTTCTCGCAGTTTCTACCTGCGTATCCGTATTCGCATGTACACGAATAATCATCGTTTAAATTTTGACACTGGCCATGGATGCAAGGGTTCGCTGCACAAGGATAGTACGATGTTGTTGGCGGCTGTGTGGGTGCTGGAGTAGTGATAGTGGTATGAATCATTGTTTGATTCGGATGAGGCTCTGAACAGTCCTCAATATTAGCTGCGTCGATTGATGACTTTACTATATCCAAACTGACCGACGAAACTTCGAGCTATAATATAATTTAACAAATACCCATTAAAAATAAAGTTTATACAATGATTTTTTTATACAATGAAAAATACTTTTTAGAAATGTTGAGAAATTATCTACATAGATACATTTTTTCTAAAATTCTTTATATATATATATATATACACAATATGAATTCTGAAGTATTCTAAGATCTTCATTGTATAATTTCCATAGAAAAAACTGATAAAATCTGAAGATTAAAGTATTTTTCAGAAAGCTTTATAAATTTAAAGTAAAAAGTATTACGAGATATTATGAATTTTTTTTATTACAGCTGTTATTAAATAATAATACTATAGACAGAGCTAATTACGGAGTTTGGTATCTAATTAAATAATTAATAATTTTGCTTACTTCGCTTATGCATCCACGGAAGCTCCGATCAACACCGACGTTCCGATTGATCGTGATTCTTCTGTGATCAACCCCTCCGATGTAAAGAGGCGTATTTAGGTTCATAGTTCTCGCCGCTCCGAGTGACTTGCCCTCCACAAATGGCTCACCATTCACTGACAGTTTCGCATCCTTGAAATCTCGATTCATCGTCACATGCGCCCATACACCAGATTGAATGGGATGAGATGATCTTATTGTCGCTATTCCAGAACCGATATCGAAACGAAACTCGACGTGCCTATCCTTTATCACGAGTGCTGCAAAATCTCCGAGGCCTTCGTCATTTTGAGAACAATACATCAAGATTCCGTCTCCAGAGTCCGCCGGATTAAAACTCATGGCTACCTTAAGCCTAGAATTAGGTATAGAACAAGTAAGGAAAACGTATTACATCACATTTTCAAAGGATCTTAAGCAACATATGCCGTGTGTTAATTTTTCATTTAGTTTGTTTATTATAAATCTCAATTTGCACACTTTTAGTTTTTATCCTCCTTATGCGTAAAATATTTGTATGAATAACTCGATTATTCTTTGCCTTATACTTTTTACAAAAAAGAAAGCTTAAACTGAAATTAGTTTAATGGCAATCGAATCTGTTACGACTTGTACACGAAAGCATACGTGCAAAAGGATTGAAAAGAACATAGACAGGAAAGGATTTATACATACGTATATGTACATGAACATTTACAGAAGCTCGTTTGGATAAACTATCAAAACAAATATATGAATAATGTTTTTGTCTTAAAACTTACCTCTTTGTCTTATATCTTTTTAGCGGTTTACGACATGCAAGGTGATGAAATCGAATAAAACATTAACTTAAATTATCGTATGTGACTTATTACATTGACTTCTGTTTATTTGCTTTAAAAATATTTATTCGTATAGCATGAGTCTGCTGAGTATATAAACGATCTTTCGTACGTGAAACATTTCTTTCTTTTAATATATTTATATATATATATATAGATTCTTAAATATATAAATACAAACATTTTACATATGCTGTCATATATAACTGTCATATACACGTATGTGATTGTTACGACTTTGACGTTTTCTAAGCTTGAGTGGGGACTAACTGTTAAATGCGACTGATTTGGCAGTGACTTCACGTATTATTTTTAATAATTAATAATGACTAAAGTGACGCGTTAAATGTATTAATTAAGAAGCTGTACAAAACATATTAATTACTAATTCGTAAATATATATATATATATTGACTGTTGTTCTAATGTTACAGCACCATGACGTCCATTACAAGGAATTACGCACTATGCTTGTTGCAAACTACCTGTTAAGAATTCATTGCTTATTCTTTTTGCTATCATAACCATTGCCATTATATGTGAAGTGCTACTAAAGAAAAAAAAGCAGTGAAAAATTGGCACAAAAACAAATCGCACTGACTAATCTTTTCGGATATACAGGCATAAACATATCTTAAAAATTTTAGATAGCTCATTATGTACGGTGATTTTTATTAGACGGAGGGAGAAGTTTATTGCTGTGATTGGATAAGTAATGATTCTCTAAGTGCGTAAAATTGGTGCTAGGTCTAGCTAATGTTTTGTGTGGTGCAAATTATTGTGGTGATGTGGCCTTGATCGTGGTTTCCTAATTTGTGCGTTGCGTAATCGTGATCGACTGTGTGTAGTGGCCGAACTCTCTCTTTC